CGGTTTCGGGCCGCAAGCCATCACTGTGCCCGAGCGGCTCGTTGGCATGCACATTGGCGCGAGGAGGGGCCTCCCTTCGAGGTTTTCGGGCATTTTCGTCTGTTCTCCGCGGTGTTCCAGCCTCGGGGTGCCCGCCAGCAGCTGCGCCTCGCCAAGGGCGTTCCTGGGGTGTCCAGATCGCCCCGAACGGCCGCTGGAGACCCGACATATGACCCGAAAGCCAAGCGACGAGGATCACTGGGAAGGATAAACCCTGAGATCCGTGCAAATGCAATGTTTTCATGCCGGGCCCTTTCATCCAGTTTCGGGCCCTGCAACCATACAGATCGATCCGCCTCGGGAAGAGCCACAGAAAGATGGGATCTCGAGCTCCGGTCATGATCTTTCGCGTGAGGTGTGCCCCCTGGCAAACCTCGATGAGACGGGCTGTGTCCCGTGGGGTGCAGACCATTTTTGCATCATCATTCGAGCAATAAGAACGGAGCCTTGCGCAAGAGAGCATGTCAGCCAAGGGGGATCCCAAGCAGCGGTTTCTTGCAACCTGTGCGGTACTGTCTCGGTGGTGCGCCCCATGTGGTGCAACGTGGGTGGTCCAGTCCATGCGGTGCAGTCTGTGTGGTGCAATGCAGTGCTCAGCAGCGCAAAGTAATCCGACAGCAGTGCGACTGCGATGCGATGGCGATGCGACTGCAGTGCAACCGAGGGGGGGGTGCAGCGGGGCGGCGGCGACGGGCGGGACCGCGGCCGCCAGGGCAGCACAGGGGCCTCACTGCTAGGAAACATGCTTTTTTGGCGCAAAGGCAAGGCGCGGTGCAGCAGCAGTAGTCTGGCTGATGGGCGGCGGACGGGAACGGCGGACGTGGAGCGGCGGCCTTCTTACCAGGAGACGTGGAGCGGCGGCGGACGGGAACGGGGCCGCCGGGGCCGCAGACACTGGCCCGCTTCCCTGGAAAAGAGACACGGTGAGCGTTCTCGTGTTCAGCGTCTCGACACTGGGCGGAAGGGGGGGGGGGCTCCGACCCTCTGCTCAGTGCGACCGTTTGCGACAGTGCGTCCTGTGAGGGGAGACTCCCCCCCTGCCTGAAACAGGCGCCCAGAACAGCCAAGATCCACTCCACGCTGGGGGGGGGAGGGGGGGGTGCGAGGGCCCGCGCCGATCGGCAAAAGAATGAAGAAAAAACGCTCACACGAGAATCCCTCAGAGCAAGCACTGCTCGGGGACTCCCAAGAGATCCCCACATGCATCCAAGATACAAGAGGCTTCTGACCCAAATCCAGGCGCGGTGGCGGGGTGGGCCGAACGAAGGCAACTCAGATCCGCCGCCCACTGCTGATGTATCAAGGGGTGCCTGGCGTGCCATACTCTCCAGTGTACCAAGCATGTTGCTTAATGTTCCCAGTGGGGCCTCGGCCGATCCCATTGGCCGCGCGGACGAGGTAGGAGGTAGGAGGCAAAACCCCCGACTCCTGCCAGACGGCCAAGATGGCCTCCAAGACTGCCCCAAGACGCCTCCAAGACGTCCAAGATGGCCTAGAGGCGGCCCAAAATGCCCTCCAGACGGCCCAAGAAGCCCCCAAGACGCCCCGAGAGGGCTGAGACAGGACTCCAGGATGCCAAAATCAGTGATTTCCCAGAAGTGTTTCCATATGTTTAGCGTTCTCGCCTTTCTGGGCTTCCGACGCCTTAAGGCGGCCCCAGAGACCCCGAAATTCAAGAGGGCCCCAAGACGGCCTAAGAGACCCTGAAGACGGCCTCATGGCCAAGGGGTCCCTTCGAGGCCCCCAGGGCCTTCCAAGAAGCGCCAGGAGGCCCCCAAGAGGTCCCCCAGAGGCCCCCAAGAGGCTCCCAGGAAACCCCAAGACGGCCTCAACAGGCCTCCTTTTCCTGGTCCTCCTCCTCGTCGGCTGTCGCCTCCCTCTCCTCCTCCCTTCTCTTTCTCTCCCGAGGGTTCCCCCAAGGAGTTCCATAACGGCTGGGGAATTCATAATCCACTGGTTTGGCCAGATATTGGCCCCACGTTTGGTCGCATGGGCATTTCCAAAAGGCATGGGGCCGCGGTGGTTCGCCGTAGGCGTCTTCGCTATATATATATATATATATATATATATATATATATATATATATACTCAAGTGGGAAGCGCGTACCCAAACTCGTACAAATCGAGCCAGTGATGCACGCAACGCCGCTGGGAATATGTTCCGGATGTGCGGCAATCGACATGGGGCGATCGACATTCGTCTTCAACGTGTTTGTGAATGCGCTGCGCATCTGTGATGATAGCAAGCAAGCAAGCAAGCAAGCAAGCAAGCAAGCAAGCAAGCAAGCAAGCAAGCCACATTGCCAACTGTATGCCGAGCAGCTGTGGTAACACATCTGCACATGGGCCCCGTCCTCTCCCCCACTTCTCCTCAGTCTGCATCTCCCCTGCTTCGGTGGCTACTCATGGGAGCCTCCTATACCATTTTGTCGGCTGTTGCGAATCGACGCTGGCCGACGCCAATCGACGCTAAATCGACGCTGATCGACGCTACGTCGGCGCTAGATCATCAAATTCCCAGGCGCTAATCGACGCTAGAGACGAATGAATTGAAAATGCACACAGTGATTAGCAATAAAACGAACCCCGAACCCTGTGAAAGACCAAAACTTCGTGAGGAGGACCAGAACTGAGGGATAGGGATTGTTCTGCAGATGTATCGAACCAAGCCGCCAATAATCATTACCCGGTACCCCTAGTACGAAGCCGGGGCCTAAATGAGGCCACGTCTTCACTGCGTGAATACGGCTAGGGGTTCTTTGGAACCTCGATGACACAGGGTTCCCAAGATCTGCTACCGAAATAATCGATCCCTGCCCTCCCCGTCTCGTCCTCTCCCACCCACACGATTGTCCGCCCGGATCCCTCTCGCAGATGGACAAAACAGTGGACACCTTGACACCCTCCCCTCCTCCCCAATTTCAAAGTTGGCCTCAAGCACTGGGCAACACAGGCCTGAGATGACAAACAAATTATCCCGGCAAAGCAACCTAACAGCGATGTGTAGGAGAATATCTGGAAGCATTCCCCTTAAGATTCACATGAGAATCCAGTTGTAGAATTCTGCTGTTCTCGCAGTCGCAGTCGCATTCGCGATGAAAGTCGCAGTGGCAACGGCAGTCGCAGTCACAGCCTCATCCTCAGCCTGCCTCAGCCTCAGCCTCAGCCTGCCTCAGCCTCAGCCCCAGCCTGCTTCAGCCTCAGCCTCAGTCTGCCTTCAGCCTCGGCCTCAGCCTCAGCCTGCCTCAGCCTCAGCCTGCATCAGCCTCAGCCTCAGCCTCAGCCTGCCTCAGCATCAGCAAGCCTCAGCCTCAGCCTCAGCCTGCCTCAGCCTCAGCCTCAGCCTGCTTCAGCCTCAGCCTCAGTCTGCCTTCAGCCTCGCCTCACCTTGCAGCCTTCCAAGAAAATACATGCCTCAGCTGGCATCAGGCCTCGAGCACTCAGCCTCAGCCTGCCTCATCTCATGTCCTGCACTCAGCCTCAGCCCAGGCTGCACGCCCCCTCTGCCTCAGGCTGCTTCAGCCTCAGCCCAGTCTGGCCTTCAGCGGCAGGCTTGCAGCCTCAGGGACCTGCCTCAGCCTCAGCCTGCCTCAGCCTCAGCCTGCCTCAGCCTCAGCCTCAGCCTGCCTCAGCCTCAGCCTCAGCCTGCCTCAGCCTCAGCCTCAGACTGCTTCAGCCTCAGCCTCAGTCTGCCTTCAGCCTCGGCCTCAGCCTCAGCCTGCCTCAGCCTCAGCCTGCATCAGCCTCAGCCTCAGCCTCAGCCTGCATCAGCATCAGCCTGCCTCAGCCTCAGCCTCAGCCTGCCTCAGCCTCAGCCTCAGCCTGCTTCAGCCTCGGCCTCAGTCTGCCTTCAGCCTCGGCCTCAGCCTCAGCCTCAGCCTCGGCCTCAGCCTCAGCCTGCCTAAGCCTCAGCCTGCATCAGCCTGAGCCTCAGCCTCAGCCTGCCTCAGCATCAGCCTGCCTCAGCCTCAGCCTCAGCCTCAGCCTGCTTCAGCCTCAGCCTCAGTCTGCATTCAGCCTCGGCCTCAGCCTCAGCCTGCCTCAGCCTCAGCCTCAGCCTGCCTCAGCCTCAGCCTCAGCTTGCCTCAGCATTCAAAATGAGGCCCGGGAATGGAATTCTGGGAACTCGAAGAGCACGAAGTGGCCTACAGTTGGCTCCGGGCATTCAAAATCATGGCACCAGGGAATGGAGTTCTGGGAAGCTCGAAAACGCACGAGTGGCCTACAGGTTAGGCTCCTGGGCATAAATCAAAATCATGCCGCGGGAATTGGAGTTTTGGGGAAAAAAACTCGAAGAACACGAAGTGGCCCTACAGTTGGCTCCGTGGCATTCGAAATGTGGGCCCAGTAATGAGTTCTTGGAACTCGAAGACCACGAAGTAGCCATACAGTCTTGGCTCGCGGGCATATCAGAATGTGGCCCGGGCAATGGAATGGAGTTTTGGCAGCTCGAAGAGCACCACGAAGATAGGCCTACAGTTGGCTCCGTGCATTCAACTGTGGGCTCCAAAACCGGGAATGGAGTTCTGGCTTCATCAGAGCAACGAATGGCCACAGTTGGCTCTGGGCATTCAAAATGTGGCCCGGGAATGGAGTTCTGTGAAGTCGAAGAGCACGAAGTGGCCTACAGTTGGCTCCAGGCATTCAGAATGTGGCCCGGGAATGGAGTTCTGGGAGGTCGAAGAGCACGAAGTGTGTGACTGTTTGCGAAAAACGAGTTCGGACCCAGCTCCCCGGATGCCGCCCGAACCCCCCTGTGGAGTCATCTGCTGCTCTCTTTTGACCCTATTGGAAACCTATCAGTCTTCGCTGTTAGGTAGAAATGGACCCTCCAGGCCTCTGGGAGGCCGAAGCCAACTTTGGAACTTGGGGGGGCCAGCGCGAGGTCGACGACGAAGGGGTTCCACTTATTTGCCCCGTCACTGTCCAACCGTCCAACCCCCGATCCCGCGGCGCGGCGCCAGCGTCACGATGCCGAAACCGTCCAGCTCGCTGCCGCCCGGGGCGGCGGGGAGGTGCTGCCTCGACGCCTGGGTCAGGGCGCGCCTTCTTTGCCTTTGTCTTGGGGAAAAGAATGCGACAACCAAACTTCCCCCGACCCGGCCTCGACCGCTGCCGATGCCCCTCTTTGTTTCGGACTCGGGCAAGACGCCCCCCTGCTCTCGGGGCCACACTTGGCAGCGCGCGCACGTTGGCAGGGGGGGGGGGCAGGCTTCTTAGAAAGAGGCTGCTCCTTAGAAGGCGCTGGCCTTACATCTTCGGGGGGAAGTGGCGAGGTGCTGCGGCAGGCTGCTGTCTTGGCAAGGGGGTACAGGGTCGAAAAGTCATGGACTGAGAGGCAGGAGAGGCTGAGAAAGCGTCGATTGAAGTGGCGCGTCAGTGAAGAGGAGGCTTTGCAAGTGGCGCGGCAGTTCAAAGTGGCGCACGGTGGCGAGACCATTCCGCGGGGCCTCTTTGGGCGCCGCTTGCCGTGAAGGGAAGGCCCAAGGGCCTCTCCCTCTGCCCACAGGACTCCCCCACGGGCGTCCCAGAGGCCGACTGCGGGATTCTTGGCCTGCGCGCAATCGTAGGGTTCCCAACCACTCGGCCTCTGGGCCGCCGCGGGGGGCTACCACCGAGCGCGAAAGAGTTTCGTGCCCTCCCCTGTGGGCGGCGCGGGGGCGGCGCCGGCCGCGCTCGCCAAGGGTGGATGGCAGAAGGGCCTCACCTCCTGCGCATAGGAAGCCCCCCTAAGCAGCCACCATCCCCATGACTGGTACCCTCTCCCGCCGAGGCAGGAGTAGAGTAGGGTACCCAGACCACGGGAGGGGGAGGGCCTCTCCCTCTGCCCACAGGACTCCCCCACGGGCGTCCCAGAGGCCGACTGCGGGATTCTTGGCCTGCGCGCAATCGTAGGGTTCCCAACCACTCGGCCTCTGGGCCGCCGCGGGGGGCTACCACCGAGCGCGAAAGAGTTTCGTGCCCTCCCCTGTGGGCGGCGCGGGGGCGGCGCCGGCCGCGCTCGCCAAGGGTGGATGGCAGAAGGGCCTCACCTCCTGCGCATAGGAAGCCCCCCTAAGCAGCCACCATCCCCATGACTGGTACCCTCTCCCGCCGAGGCAGGAGTAGAGTAGGGTACCCAGACCACGGGAGGGGTGGCTGCTTGGAGGGCCTCCACCGCGCCCGGAGGTGGTTTCTGCAATCCGCGGCGGTGGCCTGCGCGATGAAACTTGGGAGTTGTTCTCGCTGCGGCAGGCGCTCCGATGTAGCAGGCGGTCGAGGACAGCAGCTGCTGAAGATGCAGGAGGATGGAGGGAGACTGTAGGGTCCGCTGACGGTTTTTGGTAGCTGGTGCCGCGGCCGCCCTGGCCCTTGCCAGGACGGCCGTCGGTGAGCTCCCCTTCTTCCCTCCCTGGTAGAGCCCCTCCAATACCGCACCACAAGAGGGGAGTGTAGAGGAGGTTCTTTGGGTACCGCGGGGAGACAAGGGGCAGCGAGCAGGTGATCCAGGAGGACGGGATTCCTCCTCCTTCTCCTGTTCCTTCTGCTTCTCCTCCTCCTCTTCTTTTTTTTCTTCTCCTGCGTCCCCTCCCCCTCTCCCTCCCCCTCCTCCTCCTCCTCCTCCTCCTCCTCCTCCTCCTCCTCCTCCTCCTCCTCTTCCCCCTCCTCCTCCTCCTCCTCCTGCCCCCTTCTTCAATCCAGCATCCTCCCCTCATCGTCCAGCCTCCCTCCCCTCCATCCTCCCCCTCCCCCTTCCCCTCCCCATCCCCCCCCATCCCTCCCCTCTACCTCACCCTTTTCCTTCCTGCCTCTCCCAATCTCCTCCCCTCCTCCGCCCCCCTTCAGCCTCGGCCCCTCTCCCCTCCACCAGGCGGGGCGGGCAGGGCGCCAAGTGCGGCACGAGGCCAGGGGGGAGGCCGCGAGGCGAGGAGACAAGGGCCCGCCAGCAGGGGCGAGAAGCGACGAAGAGAGGTGGCCTGCGCGGCGCCAATGCCGAGGGAGAGCACGATGGGCACCGTGGCGGGGCCCGTGGTTATGGC